CCCCCCCCCTCGGAGGACCATGGGTTAGAACCCCTATATAATACCTACTAATGTTTCTTTAAAATTGATAAAAGCATGTTGCATAAAGCCATTATTAAAGTTTTCTGGAAGACATAATGTGCTATAACAATGTTATTTCTCCTCAGGCCTTACTTCTAATTCAGTATTAAGACCTTTCTGAGTCATAAATCGGAAGGCAGAACAAAGTTGTTGTTTAACAGCAAAAGTATATGCAATATTATTTCTGGAACGAGTAGTTTTAGCATTTTGAACAGCTGGCTGATGATTAGCTTCAAACTGATCATATGCCAAATTAACAAGAGCACTACATTGAGACTGAATTGATGGATAATGAATCATATGATGATATTTAGGTTTCAATATATCATGGAAAAGATTAATATATAAGCGATGATGTTCCGTGATTCTATCTTTCAATGTCTTAATGATCTCATTCTGTATTTGCCTACACAAAACAATATCAATAATATCACGCAGAATTAAATAAAATTTCCATACAGAATCATTATCAGGAACAAGATCACCTATAAGTAAAGCAAAGATACGAACAAAAGTATGCATTTCACTGGCAGTCATTTTCATCAATTTATTACAAAGAGCTTTATCTTTAAATTCACAGGGTTTATTAGTTATAGTTTTATCATAATAAAATATAATAAGCCGAAAGTTAAGTATTTCGACAATAAAATAACTTTTTACGTAAATGAAATGATATAAAATGTTGCCTACGTCATATATACAAACTCCCTCGAAAACATCATGCATGATGACAACACTTGGATTATCAGTTACCTCAAAAGTCTGAACACCACTTAACACGGATTCCCCACTGACTCCAGTTAGTGATACATCACCAATTGTACAGTCTATAATATGCTGTTCTTTTTCCCTGAGTAAACTTGAATCCTCCTCTGTTTGGATATGAATTACAGATTTATGAACATAACAGATACGAAGAAAACACATAGAAAATTAACATTAAAGCCTTCTATAAAACCAAGCATTGAATGGAGAGCTAAATTGTCAGCAATTAGAAGAGCTAGAGCAAAATAAACTGTGTGCATAATACTATTAACAGTAATTTCAATACCATTATTGAGCAAGAAGTTTAACTCTTTAATTAAAATTCTGAATGTTTGTTTATTTCCATAATGAATAAGATTAACTGTGTTAAAAAGCAAAGCTAAAAATATATCTAAAGAGCTCTGAAATTCCGAAGGAAAACATGCAATTTTCACATAGACAGCACCAAGTTGAGCACTATGAGGACCAATTTCTTTATCAATTTCAAAATCATCGTAAAATATAAACAGAGGAATCACAAGTTTTTCACCAAATAAAACCTTTTTTTTCTGCCAATGAGATCCATAGATATAGTCAACACATAAACTGTCATTTGAAGGTTTCTGTAGAACATTCATGATTACATCAAACACATTTGGTAATTCTAAAAATACTTTCAAAACTTTTCTCGAAAAGAAATAAACTGTCCTTTAACATTGTTAACCTCAATAAGTACTTTGCCATTCACTTTTTTGGTAAACATATCAGGAGCAATTATATAGTTCTCAGGTGTAATATAAAATCCAAATTTTTTTAAAAACTGTAGTCTTAAATACTCTGTATGTAAACCTTGGAATGGATTTTTTAATATACTGATCTTACAAATACAAATATCATCAAACAATGTTTGAGTCAATATTTTGATCATGAAGTATAGCTGTAATATCAGCAGATAGTTGTGACACACTAATGGATAAAAAATCTGTGGTGTCCTCTACATAATCTTGAACCATTTTGCGAGGACCAGGTTTACTATAAAGTCTACCTATTAGCGTGGAAGCATAAGTTCTGATTACACTTTTGAAGAAGGTTTGACTGATTAGGAATTTATCATGTGAATCACGCATAGATAGAGGCAATTATCTTCATCAACATGAAGCTCGCTACTAAAATGTGAACTGTCATTAGACAAAACAATAGAATCATCAAAAGCTATCTTACGAACAATACTTTCATTATTTTATGAAGGGAGAGGTAGTGTAACTTCAAAAGGCACAGAATCGCGAGCATCTTGAGAAGGGGAAGTATGGAACTTATTTAAATGGCGTCTAAAGGTAGTCCAATTAGAATATTGTTTGTAACATCCAAGTTGAGCACATTTGAAAATATTACGATTATTTTTAAGTTTATGAATAAGTCTGAAATGCCTATGTAACTGAATAATGCTGTGTAACTGATTAATGCTGAATTAATTCTACTGTACATATAAAACATGACAGCATTTTGATTGATTATAAAATTCAATAATTTATAATAATAGATTTTTCAGATGTAACGTATTACATCACAACAGCACATATATAAAATAAAATAATTTTTAGAATTTTTAGAATCACAAAAGTCATTGAGAGCAATGCGAAGTTCGAATAGAAGTAAACTTGCAATCTTCTTTCTTAAAACTACAATACTATCACACAGTAATCAGAATAATATTAGTACAAACAAAAACAAAACTTAAAAATATTTGCATTTTTAAATGAGATGACAAATGGAACACTTCAAAATCTATACTAAAACAGTCACATATCCTATTTACGAGAGAACTTCTGAAATATTTTTGGAAGCTGAGCATCAGATTTCCACTCATTAAATGCAATTGTTAACTCATACAGTTCTTTCTGAATGAACCTCCACAAACGATAACTCTCTGCAGAATATTCCAGGTGAGCTCCATGAATAATTTTGAAACATAGATCCAAAGTTCTTAGTGGAGACTGAGCAACAAATTTGGTCTCTATATCCACAATTACGTAACACGCATCTATATCTTCTACAGATGATCCACAGACGACAACATATGGCTGCACAGTAAAGCCCCAATTGGTCAATTTTGTTTGTCTCCCTTGCACAAACGGTAAAAGTTTCCCAATACTCTACAAGACCAAATAGAAATAAAATCAGAACCACAGAAATAAGATAAAAACAAATAGAAATAAAAGCAATAGGTACCGAAATATCTTCAGATAACGCAGAAAACATAAGTGACTATGCTATATATACTTCCCTTATAAGATACTTACTTCAATATGTGAAATTACTCCTTCCTAAATTTCTCCATATCTTGTTACTGCCAGGTTTGCGGACAACAGTTACAACATATCTAAGTAGCACAATGACAATAATACCACTAAATTCTTGGTTTCTGTTAAAATAAAAAAAATTTTATTGCTGATAGCATAACAGCCAATTTTAATTTTTACAATGTATGTTCTTTCTTGAAATTACAAATATTTCTTCAATATTACCTTCTGAAATCTCATCTTCCGATAAAAGTAGCAAATTATCTTTCAGAGCGTCACATTTATTTTCTTCCTTGTTGAGAGCTTGTACAATACGATGACAAAAATTATTAAAAGAACTATAAGCTTTAAGTTTGTGGATAAAGCAAATCAAAATCTATTTGAAACTAAAATACAATAAATAAATGTGTATGTAGAAGCAATAACGTATAATAAAATAAAATCTGAAATACTACATGATATTTATGATACATAATATTTATGATATTAACCAAAGTGTATCCGAGGAGTGCACAGACTGGGGGATAGAGAAAGGGTGGCAGAAGACGGTAGATGAGGTCTTAGGAGGGGAGGGTGAAGGAGAGATTTGGATGAGGAGATTGGAGGAAATGAGGGAGGGAGGAGGGTGACTGGGAATGAATGAGAGTATGGAAGAAAGGAAGGAAAATGCGGGGGAAACGGAAGTCCAAGGGATGAATGTGGATGGATGGATGGATAGATGGTTGGGTGGAGGTGCGTAATCTTCCCCTCTCTCTCTTCAAGCGGTATAAAGGATGCGAGGAATAAGATGTAAAAAATTTTTTGTAAGCGGAACGGAAGTCCACAATGTACTCCGCAAGGAATAAAGTACCTTAACAACAACCAAAGTGTATCCAAATTTTTCTCTGAGAGCTAGATATTTGTTCATGTAAGTTGAAACATTTTCCAAATCTTGTTCTTCCTGTCCTGCCTGTGTAGTTTTTAGAATTGTACTGTTTTTTAACTGGTCTTTAGTACTGGTTTTTCCTTTACCACTTCCTTTATTTCTCTTTACATCTCGAGATTTGACATGTAATTCTGTAACTCTATGTTTAGAAGTCTCACTCCAATACTCTACTATTGTAGGCCTTTATATTTTCTTGAAAGAAATTAAGCTTGGCCTGTAAACTATCATTCACTACCAAAAAAGAATCATAAAATAAATTAAAAAATAGATTGAAAGAAAAGAGAATTGTTCAATAAATTACAAATGTATAAGCAACATAGATAGTCAGAACCGACCACCTACGTTCATTCTGTGTGACTATTTACATTAAAAAAAGAAATGCAGATATAAAGGCGACACAACTAACCCCCTAAATCATCTTCAGAATCAGATTGTTCTTAGTTTTGTCTAATGACATCAAGTGCTTTTAATTCTTTTCGAATAGTACTTTGTTACTAATTTTCCTTTGGCTAAAAATTTTTTTCCATCATAGTTTCTGTATAGAATGAAATATAATTCCTGTCAAGAAAAAATCAGTATTAATGCAAAATCCATATATACAACAAAGCTTATCATATATTCCATAAGAAAAGTCTGCTAAAAATTTAAACTTACACTGTCTTCTTCAGGAAATTTTTTTTGTATTGCATGTACAAGTTCAGCGAAACTTGTACTTGAAATCCTACGAATAAAGATATAACATTTTGAAAAAAAAACAATTTCAAATAACTGAAGAAATAATGAATTTAGAAGAACCAATTCAAAGTTGTGAAATCTATGAAAAATATATTTACTTATCACATCTGCTCCATTCGTCTTCAATAATAATTTCTGTTAATTTGTTCCTGTCTTTATCCTGTCTCAAACAAGGGCTTTGTTTTGCTCGTTGTAATATACATTTATCTGAAGCTGATTTTGACAAAAAAAGTCAAAGTTGCTGAAAGGAAAAACAAAGATTTTAGAAAAGATAGACCAAATAAATGTACATAAAACATATAATATAGAAGCAAACTTGAATAACATGAGCTAAAAATGGCCTAACTTACCTCACCTAGTATCGTCTTAGACTCATTGTTCTCTCGATTCCTTTTTCTCGATGAAATATTTTCTACGATATTTTTTGGTTTTGGAACATCTTCTGATAATGATAAATCTGAAGTAGTCTATATTAATTGAATGTTAAAAGATAGGCAAACTTCTATACATAAATTAAAATAATGTTTTAGACTTGTTAAACTATCCTTACTGGTTTAGGTGAAAGAGAAGTGGTAATCTTATTCCCAATAATACTGTTACATATTATCTTCTTGTCATTCTGAAGTTAAAAGAGATATAAATATTTGAAAATATATATAAAGGGATACGTGACAGAATTTTAATCCCGAGAAAATATTTTATATAAATCTTTCTGACGATAATAAATTTACAGCTAAAAATATATTTTTTATATGAAACAAAATGTCGCAATATACTTACTGATTTTAGTGCTGCAAGGACAGAATCAGCAGTCTTATTATTTTCATTTTGACATAACTTATTGAGATCATTTTTGTTTTTCTACAAAATAAAAAATAAGAGAAAAAGTTAAAAAAAAATTAATTTTTAAATTATTAAAAAATGTCATATATATTCTAAAAATAAGGAGAAACTCAAACTTGAAAATGTAATATTTGATTGAAAATTAAGTATTAGGTGTACAACTTTGTTTCTGCCGTTTTCCTATAGATGGCTTTAGCGGTAAGTGATGGTCGAAATAAATAGATCATAGACGTCATACAATAAACTTGGGCATCTGTCAATAAAACCCCATAGAAATATTAGTCGATTTGTGTCTGCATCATAAGGTTATTCTCGATTGAAAATGTCAGTTTACGACCCAAATTCTCTTCATTTGCGGAAGATTTTAATTTTCTGCTTCAATATGAAGAAATCTGTGGTTAAGGCTCATCGAATGCTCTCAAATACTTATGGTGAGGCTGCTATTAGTGAAAGAACGTGTCTTAAGTGGTTTCAACGCTTCAAGAACGGTGATTTTGACGTCGAAGACCGGCATAGCGGTGGAAGAGAGAAGGTTTTCGAAGATGCAGAATTGGAGGCATTACTTGATCAAGACTCGTGTCAAAATCAAGAAGAATTGGCACGATCTTTGGGAGTGACTCAACAAGCCATTTCAAAACGCCTCAAAGCCATGGGAATGATTCAGAAGCAAGGAAATTGGGTGCCGTACGAATTGAAGCCGATAGATGTTGAACGGCGTTTGTTTGCTTGTGAACAGCTGCTTAAAAGGCAAAGAAGGAAGGGATTTCTGCATCGCATTGTAACTGGGGACGAAAAATGGGTTCATTACGATAACCTTAAGCGCAGAAAATCATGGGGAGTTCCTGGCCATGCTTCCGTCGACGGCCAAACCGAATATTTACGGCTCCAAGGTCATGCTCTGTATTTGGTGAGACCAGCTCGGCGTAGTGTATTATGAGCTGTTAAAACGACTGAAACAATCACAGGCCATCGGTATCAAACGCAACTGATGCGTTTGACCCGAGCATTGAAAGACAAACGGCCGTAATACAACGAGAGACACGATAAAGTGATTTTGCAGCATTACAATGCTCGACCCCATGTTGCGACAGTGATCAAGACATACTTGGAAACGTTGAAATGGGAAGTCCTACCCCACCCGCCATATTCTCCAGACGTTGCTCCCTCTGACTATCACTTGTTTCGATCAATGGCACACAGCCTGGCTGACCAGCACTTCCGGTCTTATGAAGAAGTAAAAAATTGGATCAATTCGTGGATCGCCTCAAAAGATGACCAGTTTTTTCGACGCGGGATTCGTACGCTGCCCGAAAGATGGGAAAAAGTAGTGGCCAGCGATGGACAACACTTTTAATCATAAATGTATAACCAGTTTTTTAAAATAAAGCCTCGAATTTCGAAAAAAAAAACGTCAGAAGCAAAGTTGTACACCTAATATTTTCATTCTCTTAACACTATAATGAAATAATGATGCAACCTTACTTTATTCAAATCACTTTTGACTGTTTTAGTTAACTGTTTAACATTTTTTACAAACTTTATTCTGTGACCAACGATTGGAATAAGACAGTATAATATATCTTTCCATTCTATTAGAGTTTGAAGTTCATTAGTTTCTATCCAATACCTAGAACATTATACATTTTTTTTATGTAAAATAAAACATGAAGACTACATATTTCTAATGTCTAAGTATAGTTTCCGGAAAGGAGCCGTGTTTTGAATCAGCGATGTGCAGACGTTTCGCAAACGTTGCAGTTTGCATCATCAGGGCTGAGAACTCTGATACTGAGCTCCCTTGGTTAAAGGTAGTCCTTATATGCCCCCTTCCC